CTGGTTCTCCAAGCCTGAGTCTGGTCAGTCGCTGGCAGCTGAAACATTCTCACAACTTTTTCACTTACAAGATTCAGATACAACCATGCACCCTGTCATTTTGCTTTGAACCAGATTTGAAGTCTACCGGCAGTACAGTTAATGCATTGTACTTGTCTTCTTCTTGTCTGTCTAAGATGATTTCATGGATGTCCCGTCTGGCTGGCAGGCAGGCCAGGGGACGTTTGGGAAGCCTCCATGGTTTGATGCTGTTCGTGAAGAGTACCTGGCCTGTCGTCAAAACGTCGCCGTCATGGACATGTCATCCTTCACCAAGTTAGAAGTCCGAGTTAGTACAGACCTAGTGGTCCTTTTTGTTATGTTGTGGCCCAATGATGTCTCTACTGAAAATTGCATAGAATATAGTATCTCTTTCAATGTGAGCATCATAGAATTCTCTTGAATCTGAACATCATTTGCCTGTTGGTATGCAGCAAGAGAGCAATTCTTTGGCTGCATGTTAGAAACAGACCACATCAGGCTGACGTCTGTATTGTCATGTCCCTGTTCAGTCCGCAGGTGATGAGGTGGTGACGTACCTACAGAGGCTGTGCTGTAATGAGGTGGATGTTCCGGTGGGGACAGTGCTGCATACCGGCATGCTCAACCACTACGGAGGCTACGAGAACGACTGCAGCCTGGCACGCCTAGCGGAGAACATGTGAGTAGATGGATAGAACCTGTCCTTATCTGAGAAAATATTTACAACTAAGACATCTTTAAGAGTTGCCAGAAGTATTAGCACAATTGATTGTACTGATTTCCCAAGATATGGCAGCCCATGCATTAGTTTAGTGCAGAAGAGAACTGCTGATATGTATTTAGTCAGAGAAGAAAAGAAAAGAATCCTACATCAGTAAAGGAAAACTTAATGTTATGTTGACACCCATTCCTTGTCCCCCCAGGTACCTCATCATCTCACCATCCAATCAGATGGTGCGGAGCTGGGAATGGCTACACCGTCACCTCCCTAAGGAAGGGACCGTGCAGATTCGGGATATCACACCATACTACGCCGCCATCAATGTCCTTGGGCCAAGGTCACGGGAGCTGATGGCAGAACTGACAGACACAGTCACCATGAGCAGCCAGTACTTCCCGTCTTTCACCTGCAGGGTAAGGAGAAGTCCACACAATCATTTCTACTACTCTCATTCTCCACAAGATAAGGTCGAACAGTTCCAGTAAGTCTAGATCAGATTTAGTGGTATGTAAGAGTTCCCAAGCCTGGGTGCCATCCTCCATAGTTTCCGCTGGCTCCCTAATGTCGATGGCTATCCGTGGTAGCTGACGGAAACTACGGAGGATGGCACCCAGGCTAAGAGTTCCCTCCTAGTCCAGTTTAGTTTCTTTATAAGTTGTCACTTGTCCATAATGTAATATGTTTTAATCTTTCAGGAGCTGAGTATTGGTTTTGCCCCACGTATTCGTGCCATGAGCCTGAGCCACTCTGGAGAGCTGGGTTGGATGTTATATGTACCGCAAGAGGTAAGCAGTCTCATGTCTTCACAATTATTGTAGTCACTCAAAGATGTATGGATAAACTACCTCTATATGGTAATACACATACAACAGTGTCATACTGCCATTCTTCTTGCCATTCACATACACATGTATTGTGACAGTGTCATGTAGTTTGTCAATACAATTGCAGTGATCATTGTTCTTGCAAAGGCTATTAATCACATACATTGTGTTGGCACCCGTTGATACATTTGTAAGATTGTTTGTTTATGTGATTCTTTTCAAGAAATAGATAAAATAGGGCGCACGTAACTGAAAGATTTTATCCCTCCAACAGTATGCTCTCCATGTATACGACCACATCATGCATAAGGGCAGAGATTTTGGCATCCGCAATGTTGGCTACTACACCATCGCTCATCTCCGCATGGAGCGGGCTTTCGCTTTCTGGGGAATCGACCTGGATGCATCTGTGACCCCGTTTGAGTGTCAGCGAGAGCACAGGGTCAAGTTTGGGAAGGTAGGAGACCTCGTTCTCTGTAGGTATGACTGAACATGTTTTGCTTTGAAAAACAAGGTGCCAGGATTGTATTTCTTGTCTGATAGTTATGTAGTCATGTTTTAGAAGCTCAGCAAGTTACGATGATAGTATAAACCATGTTGTGCTGAGTTATAAAGCTTGCATATCCAGACTCCAAAATAAAATAGCTTCATGTCTTACATCGGTGTCCTTAAAACATGCTTTGCTTTCAGGAATCAGAAGAAGATGTGAGTACCAGTTCAGAAATGGTAGTATGTACATGTACTTGCATCTGTTCAAACTCAACACAGGCTGAGATGATATATCTTTAACAAACTTTGGGCTAATGTCAAGTGTTCTATGCTGGTGCTTTTGACATTTTTGAGGTGTACTCCAGACTTAATATCCTTCTCCAGCTACTTCACTGACATTTACATACCAAAGGTTAACAGGTGAGTGGTGGTGTTCCATACTAGATGGGGTTTTGGTTATCACAGAGCCATCTCTTTGCACACTTCTGGACATTTTTTACCCCATCGCAGGGAGTGGACTTCATTGGTCGATCTGCCCTGCTCAAACAGAAGCAGGAGGGAGTGAGGCAGAAATTTGTCATGTTCCTATTGGACAATCATGACCTGGAGAATGACCTTTGGCCTTGGGGAGGGGAGCCAATCTGGGAGGGTGGAAGGGTCGTTGGCAGGACGACGTCAGCAGGCTATGGATACACTCTGAAGAAACAGGTTGGTATATTCTCGTTGCTATTTTTGAGTCGTACCACATATGTACAGTAAATGCCACCCTCTGCATTTACATTTTCTGCTGTCTTACATACATAGGAAGTGTGACATATTGTTGATGAATGTAATTGTGGCCTCTGCAGGTCTGCCTTGGTTTTGTGCGCAACCCCGACCCACAGACAGGAGAGCGTCAGGTCATCACCACCAACTTCATCACCAAGAGCAAGTTCGAGATCCAAATAGCAGGGAAGAAGTTCAGCGCTGCAGCACGGTTGTTCCCACCACAGATGTAAACTAAAGAATTCTGTGTCGCAAATTTTTCATTGTGTAACAGTTCACATGTATATACTCAGTCTATGTGGTCTAGATATACAGATGTCAAAGATAATCACAGATGCAATGTAAAGATTCTACTTGTATGTCAATGTCTGCTCAACAGCAATACCTGCTGAACAGATCTAGACAGTAATGTTAATCACTTGGTTTCAATCAAGAACTTATTGATGGGGACCTTGCAAAGTCTTGACCATTATAAAGCATTATACTCTTGCAAACTGCAAGTCCAATCCCTTCCCAAACTCTACTGTAGTCATGGAGCTGAATTAACTTGTTTAGTGGTATTATGTGACTCGAAGATCACATGTACATTGTACATACTAGGGATACAAAAGCATAATTCTATGAATGTCATCAGCATATCATACTTTGTCCTGCAGATGTTATTCTTTGCTTGTATGTTGTCGGTTAAGTGTTGCTTTATTGTCTGGTTGTTGTAATTCAAATGTAATAAAAAGGAGCATGTCATACGGAATGTATTGTGTGAAAAAGGCTATTTATTTGTTGCGTATTTGTGTAAGAAGCTGAATGGTGCTGCTTTTGTTTGCATGTAATGCAAGTATGTTGTTGTACTTTGAGGGCTTGTTACTACACACAATGAATAATCAAATCCCGGATATGTATGTATGTAATGACATACATGTAACCCTTGCCATGTGTAATAACTTAACATTTTGGGACTGTGGAGGCTATGAGAAATAGGGTATGTAGACTGTAGAGATATGTTCCATAAGAGGATGAAGAATACGCCTTTTAATGCAGTATTCTGTTACCAAACCTATGAATAATGTGTGCTAAGCAAACTATCTCATGTTATCTATCAGACAACTAGTAATAATACTAGTATGGACAGGCATTGTTTTTTTCTGTATGCTTAGTACTGATTCTCAGCAGTCTCTGGTTGAAGCAGGATAATCAGAACCATCTCAGGTGTCCCCTCATACCTTAAACACACTTTCCTTCTTACGAATTGCTGGTCTTACATGTATTTGTAGTTGCCGTCCTACTTTTGTTGATACGTTGTCTACACGTGCTAGACAGTACACGTTTTTACCTGGAAAAACCTTTGCTGTTCTTTGGATGAATTCATTTCTTTGTCTAGAGCATTACTCATATCACTGAAAATGTTTGTATAGGTGATTTGACATCACTCTCTGGTGTTTGTGATGTTGAGGTAAACTTGGACAGAGGCTATCAAAATCATAATTGTATGGTTGTCATTTTTTCATAAATCTATGCTATTGTTTGGAAAGTCTTCTTGGAACTGTTTGTATTGGTATTAGGCCCTCCCAGCATCTGTTGTCTGTGAAAGCAAACTTGGACAGGACAACTATCATGTGATACAGCATGAATATGGGCATGATCAGTGAGTGATACATGATAACAGCCTATCTCATCTGTACATTTTCCACCATAAGATCACAGGTAACAAGGGATGGACCTGGAAGGATCATGACAGGCAGATGGTGTAATATGATAGTGATATTTACTGAGAAGATAGTGAGAAAGAATTTCTTCACAAGAAAGTTTGGAATTTGTTGACAAAAATGTACAATGGCAAAAGATAAATGCCGACTGCCGAATGTCAACTTGGCTGCAATACTACATATGGTCACTAGAGGGCGTTATTTTAAAACCAGCCAGTGTCACGTTTATATCAAGCTGTATAGATTTACTTTAAGTTGAAAGCACTTGACCGTGACAAAATTAAAGCTTCTGGAAATTTACCAATCTTCAGCACAGATAACGTATTGCTTGACTTTTCTGACGCCGATTGTGTAGATGTGATTTTAGCCGCGCATATAGAAATGAATGGACGGGGCCTAAGATAAAAGATGAAATTTGCAACACCAGAAAGGCACAGATATTTCGTATATAGTCACCTGTCTGACTACAAAAAGCAACACTAATAACAGTAATAATGAAATCCAAACACAATTAAGGGCAAAGCGTAGGCATATAGGCCTACACTTCAGTCTAAGAATACGTTTCATATGTTATGTTTACTATCGGGTGATTGTACACAACCTGTGATAAAGTTTCTCAGTATCTGGGTAAATTTTAACCGTTTGGCGCCCTAACGGAAATGTGCTTCTCTTCCTTGCACGTAACACACGTAACGTTATACTCGTAAACTATGGGATGGGCGCCAGTTAGCTTGTGGTTTGTGCACAATGGCGATGTCATCTACCGAAGCAATGTAGTTGAAGAGTGCATCGTGAGTCACAAAAGACATACGAACTTACCAACTTAATTGCGTTTCAAGGAATTTTCTCTTATTTGTTTATCAATCAAACCTTGTAGGGAAGTGACGCAAGTCACCAGTTTAACGATCGAGAGCAAAACTTGTCTTGGGACATTGGAGGTGTCGCCCGAAGCATGGTAGAGGCTACGGGATACTAGAGGGTCTGCATGGGGGGGTCCTGGCAACGGTTAACGGAAAATTCAGCAGGGCCGATAACGCTTAACGGTAAATTCAGGAGGGTCGGCAACGCTTAACGGTAAATTGACAGGCTTTTTTTTCGAGCTGCACTGGATTTAGTATCTTACTTTGTGAGAAAGGTGATCACTGACAAAATTACGTATACCTTACATGTAATGAAGCATGCATTTAAGGTATGTGTTCCCTGTGTTTCCCACCTGCCCTGGTCCCCGAGTGCGTCCACAAATAAAGGTGAGTCCGAGTCGACGTCGGCCAGCTTGCATGTTTTCAGTTTAGGATTTTTGAGAGGGCGCTCGTAATCTAGGGGGTCCGGGGGGATGCTCCCCCGGGCAATTTAGGATTTTTAAGCCTTCAAAAACGCAATTTACCGCATTTTGAGAGGCAAATCATGGTGTTGAGAGTGTTTGTCGGTCCTTCTGATGTTTACATGTTTTTACTCAAGATTTTGTTAATTTGCCTGTCAAGGTTAACGTTGATGGATTCGTTAAAAAAATCTGTAACTCTCCGCAAACTTCCGGAAATTGACGGGAAAGCTGGTTCTGGCTCGGAGCCGAAGGGACCGAGCGCAGAAGCGCGAGTCGAGCGCCAAAGGCGCGAGCAATGTAGGGGGGTCCGGAGCATTCTCCCCCCGGG